TGAATTGAATCAGTTCGATTTTAGGTCTGTTCGAATTTGAAAACGTTCGAATTCGTCGTACCCCCTCATTGAAACATTTCCGTTTCAAATGCCTCAGATCCTTCCACAATTTCGGAATTTTCTTGTTAATTTTTTCAGATTTGCCAATATTGAGAAATTCCGTGCCATTATTATCGCTGTCAGAGAAAAAAAAGGTTGAGGCGCAGAGAAAAAATGTCTGCGTCTCCACCTAATATGTGCTATTTAGGCTCGCCGCTTCGATATTCCTACCGTATAAAGACTGCGAAAAATGCTCTCTAACCTTGTTTTTTTCAGACAACAATAATATTGGTGACTGTCTTAGAATTCGAATTCTGGCGGGTATTTCGAAAAATTTAAAAATCGATTTTTTTTTCCAAAATTGCCAGTTTCAAAATTCTGATATCTCTTTGAAATTTTTCTTTTTTAATGAACTTTCTTTCATTTTCGAAGCGTTCATATATGTAGGCTGTCTTAAAACTTCTCATTTTGCTGATTTCCGATTCTGTAATTTTCTAAAAAATCCCGAATTTTCTGTTTTAAATTTATCACATCTGTCTAAAATTTCAAAATTTTCTTGTAGTTTCTTTCGTTCCACCAAGAATTTTTTCAGTTTCAAATGTCTCAACACCCTTTAAAATTTGAAAACTACTTATTATTTCAAGTGTCATTTTTGTGGGTTTTTATCGATTTTCCAGCAAAAAATGTCAGTTCTTGCTGAAGAAAGTAGACGAAAAATACAGAAAACAGCGACTGGTGTTTACACCATTTTGTAATTGCCGCACTCCGAAAAACTGCAAAAAGTACGATTGCACAGAAAATTCATTAAGCATGTTTAGCAGATTGATGAAGTTGTGGGTGGTACATCAAAATATGCGTGGATAGAGTGTGATTTGAATTTTCGGCGTCTTTAGTTCCTCCGTGGATTAGAACCCATCCTTTGGGCAGTTCCTTCCCATTGACATGAGTTAAATGTGCAGGTGGCGCTTCGGTAGTTTCGATTGGCTGCAAACCCTAGGAGTAGAATAACTAAAAAAATGTATTATCTAAGTTTTTGTGAATTTATTGAAACATTTTTTTAATAACATACCGTAAAAATTTGAGCCCATATCTCTCAGCTCCTTTAAAAGATATCAAAACATGATCAACTGACAAAATGTTACTGATATTATGATAAACATTTTATCCATTGACTACTTTTTGATATCTCTTACAAAAAACGAGAAATGAACTTAGAGTTAGCCATAGACACAAAGTACGGTAACCCGGCTCAAAATAACATTAAAATAACATTGATTTTCAAATAACCACTGATCGATAGCTTTTGAGAATTTTTATTTAATAAATTCTCACCTCATTCTTCACCGCTTGCTCATAGCCACGTGGCAATGGGACCTTATCACAGTTGACTTCTCCCTTCTGACCACACGCTGTCTCCCGATAATAAACCGATGTTCCATGAGCCAAACAATGGAATTTGACATGATCGATCACTTCGATATCTCCTAATTTTAATGGTTTCCCTGTATGGGTCCGACAGCCGGCGATCACATAAACACCGAATTCTTGACATGTGTAGCGGAGATTTCCAACGTCGAATTCGTCGCCGACTTTGTAGGTTTTGCCGTTCTTTTTGCAGACCTAGAGTAACCAAAAAATTATAGTATGTTGTGTCAGCTGAGATTAAGCATAAGGTGGCCTACAGTGTCTTTTATAATGTTTTCAGTTGAATATACCAGATTCCCTCTCATAAATTCTCTAAGAACTCCTATTAGAGGAACTACGTTAGTCAACTTTAAATGCCTACGAAATACAGTGGATTTTGCCAGATTAGTCTGAAAATATCAGAGTATGCTAAACGAAAATTGAGCTTCAATTTCGTAGTTATCAAGTTTTCGTATAAGTTCATCCAAATGAGATATAATGTTTCTAGAAGTTTTAACCCTTTGGCTGGTTTAAATCGGGATATCTCATTTGCATGAATTTGTACGAAAAAGTTGTCAACTACAAAATTGAAGCTCTATTTGTGTTTAGCATACTCTGAAATTTTCAGACCCATTTAACAAAATCCACTGTATTAAGTAGGCTAGGAACAGGCTGAGCTACGCAGTCGGCTCTTGCCACTCAATGAAAAGAATACGATAATCACAAAACACTCTGTCAACACCAGTTACTGTAGACCGTCACGCAAAACGCCATACTTGAAAATTTGAACATACATATGACATAAACTCATTGCAAAATCTGAAATTCAAGTTTGCCAAAATTCCAGACTGAAACAGTGAATTTCCAAATTTTTTTCAAATTTCTTTAAAAAATTTATCCGAATTGCTGCTAGGATTGCACTAAAATGACATTCTTCATGAATTTTAATCGAAATTTTGAAAAAGTAAAAATTGATTTACCAACACCGTAAATACTCTAAAAGAACGTTAATCAACTCATCGATTTTGAGTCAGTTTATCTCACTTTCTATGAAAGATACCAAACAGCTGTCAACTGATAAATTGTTTATCATAATATATCACGATTGTTTTTAAAGTTGACAAAGTTTTGATATCTCTCATTGAAACCAAGATAATTGAGCTTAAAGTGTATGCATTTTTTTTGTGACCGTGGCAACAGTATCCCATGGTCGGCAGCCGACCTGGTCCCACCTTTGGAAGAAGATCAAAAATTGCATTGATTCCATCAGGATGATTGATTTCGAAGTGTTGCAATTGAGATGGTGGTTTGTGGTTGGAACTGGTGTTTGTTGGCGCAGATGTCGATAAGGTGATAAGTGAGGAAAGGAAAATTGGAAAAAGTAGAGATATCATGTTGGCTGAAAACAGTATTTTTGTGATAGAGTTTGATAAGTTTGTAGAGGGAAAGTTAAGAGTTACGAAAAATATGTGCATAATGAAACAACAACATTTTTCGGAATCAGAAAGTTCCAGAAATATTCCTATTTTTTGCATTTTCCTTCCAAAAGTAAAAAGGATATCAATAAGTAACATAGAAAAAAAATCAACTTATCAAGTTTATGAAACCGTAATTATTATTTTGGCCTTTTTTACGGATTGGGCATTTTGACACTACCAGCATTTTAGCCTCCGTAAGTTCAACACCTTGAGGAGCCTGTATAAACAAAAAAACCAATACAATTATTTTTCTCTGTTTCAACAGAATGGTGAAAATGGACAGAACACGCTTTCCCACAGAACATTTCCGAACTGCAAATTAATTTTTGATCTACAGAAAAAAGTTTGGCGCGATCACAATTGCAGGTCTAAAACCATAATTTCAGAATTTTTTATCTGATTTTGTGGAGTTCCAAGATGATTCAAATGATTCTTTAAAAAATTAATTAGTTGTTATAGATTCATGTATGGTCCTTTTCCGGAAGAAAAAATGTCAAAAATGGTCATTTACAGAAAAAATATATCTCCTCTTTCAGTTTTGGACATTCCTAGGAGTTCTATAGCTCAAAAAAACCGCAATTATTTTCTCTACATTTTCTATAAATGAATTTTTAATTTGTCTGATAAAACTTTTTTTATAATTCAAAAACCTCATGAAATTGCACAAAATAGCATTTTTGCGTTGTTTTTTGATTATAAAAAAAGTTTTATAAGACGAATTGAAAATTCATCTATAGAAAATAAAGAATAAATAATTGCGGTTTTTTTGAGCTATAGAACTCCTAGGAATGTCGAAAACTGAAAGAGGAGATAGATTTTTTCTGTAAAAAACTTTCAAAAATGACCATTATTAACATTTTTTCTTTCGGAAAAGGACCATACATGAATCTATAACCCCTAATTAATTTTTTAAGAATCATTTGAATCATCTTGGAACTCCACAAAATCAGATAAAAAATTCTGAAATTATGGTTTTAGACCTGTAATTGTGATCGCGCCAAACTTTTTTTTCTGTAGATCAAAAATTAATTTGCAGTTCGGAATTGTTCTGTGGGAGAGCGTGCAGAAGTATAAAATTGTTTCAGAACCTTCCGTTTCAAATTTTTCATATGTGTCTAAATTTTTGAAATTTTCGTTATTCCTTAATTTTCTTCGAAAAACCAAGAATTCCGGGCTATTTGATTCCAACCAATCGTGGTTTTCTTAAAATTCAATATTTGGTATTTCATAAAATTTTCGAAAAAATTTTTGTTTCATAATGTTTTCCTATGAAATTTTTGGAATTTTTCGTCATCATAACAAAATTCCAACTTCTTCAGAATCAAAGTTCTCATAACTGTTTAAAAGTCTGCAATTTCTTACTCTGTCTAGCATTTTTCCGGAATGGAGTCATAGTTGTCAGAAAAATCTTTTTAAAACTTTATTTATTGAATTGATTGAAAGGGCATATGCCGCTAACACAATACAATTAGAGACAAACGGGAAGGTAGAAAATTAGAACCGGAGGGGGAGAAAAAAAGGGGTAAATTAGATGAAAAATTGAAGGAAGATTTGAATTGTGGAAGGGAGTGGGGAAAATTAGAAATGAGTGTCATTCAATGACAGGAAAGGGGAAAAACTAACTTTTTTGAGATTAGTTTTAAAGGAGTTAGTAGACTGTTTGCCAGGAAAATTGGACTGCTCTAAAGAGTTCCAGCACTTCAGAGATCTGTTGGTAATAAATTGGGTAGTAGACTTCGAGTTATTCGACAGGTTTGGCCTTAGGTAAAAACAATGACGACGAAGATTAGTCAGCTTCGGGAAGTTAACAAGTTGCACTTTTGGAAGATCCACATTTTTAACTATTAACCATTTGTAAAGAAATATTAAATCATTCTTTAATCTTCTAGTTTCCAGAGATTCGAAACCAAACTCTCTAATGGAAAGCTCTTTTTAGAAAATGTCTGTTTCAGAGCGTTTTCATGTGTAGCTTGTCTCAAATTTTTCAATTGTTGATGAGTGTCAACAAGGGAAAAATGTTTTTAGAAATTTTAGTTTCAAAGTTTTTATATTCGTCTAAAATTTTGAAGTTTTCTTGATATGCAATTAGTTCTGCAAAAAAAAACGGAAATTCAAGTTTTGGAGGGTGTTTCAAAAAATTCAAAAAATTTCCGTTTTCATATAAATTGGAAATTTTAGAAATTTTAGTTTCATACTCGATATTAAAAAAATGATTCTCGATTTTTTTTTATTTTTCAAAGGTGTTGTCTCTTTTCTTCTTTGTGCTTCATTCCTTTTTTCCCCAGAAGAGAAGTTTCCCAAAGAAAAACCCGCCAGACCAAATTTGATCTATCATATAATTTTAGGAAGATTAATGAGAAAAAAAGATATTCAATGTAGAGAAGCGAAGCGACGATCTCGCGCCGTAGGCGCACCAGCCAGCCGTTCGAAGCGCCGGGGGCGCGGCAAACAGGCTGGTATCTCTTCAAAATTTGTGCGATTTCCTCATTCTATCAGATCTTCTTAACGGAATAATATTCAGAAAAGTGATACTTCAAAAATCTTCAAAAACCCCTCAAAAATTATGTTCAAATAACTTTTAAAAGTTAATTGAAACTAAAAAAATCAGCGCGGCATTTCCAATACGTTCACCAGAAAGTTCAATTCCTTCATGGTCTCAAATGAACAACATAAAAACAATACAATTACTTTTCTCTGTTTCAACACCTTATTGAAATTTTAGGGATATCTGTTTCGAGGCTCCAAGGTTAAACAAATTACAGCATTTAAACAGAAAGGTTGTTTCCAAGACATCTATTGTCGAATTAAATTAAACAAGTAAAAAATGTCTGAAAAGTTTAAAAAATAAATTGAAAAAATTTCCAACTTTTTTTTCAAAATTTTCAATTTCAAAGTGTTCATAAAGGTTGTCTTAAAATGCACAATTTTGCTAACAATGAGTCAGGGTTTATTCAAAAAATAAATTCAGTTTTCTGTTTCAATTTTTTATTAGAAGTTTTTAAAATTTCAGAATTTACTTCTTGTTTCTTTCATTCCATCAATAACCACTTACACTTAAAATTTGGAAATGTCTTATTCCGTCACATGTATTTTAAACCGAAAAATAGTTAAAAATGATTTTTAATAAATCTGAAATCTTAAAACTCATTTATAAATAACTTGAATTTCAACCAGTTCACAAAATACATACATATCAAACTACAAAGACAAAAATATCAACCTTGAAAAAAAGAAATAAAAAATACACGTATAATCAGGGAAAAATTGAAGTGTGAAGTTTTAGGTGAGGAACCGTAATCATGAAATGTAGAAAGAAAATTTTGAAACAAAAAAACAAGGTCATCAAGTTGGCCAAAAGAAATTTACACAAAAAAAGAATGAAATCATAAAATGAAGCGTCTTCTGTTGACAATACTGTTGACGAGAACCGGGTCATGAGATATCTGAAATGACGAAAAAAGATCAAATTTTTATCATTGATAAGATTAAATTTTAGACTATTGGTTTTGTAACTTCTACTATGCGAAAAAGGCCATATAGCGGCCTAACATTCTCAGTACACGCTCTCCCACAGAACAGTTCCGAACTGCAAATTAATTTTTGACCTACAGAAAAAAAGTTTGGCGCGATCACAATTGCAGGTCTAAAACCATAATTTCAGAATTTTTTATCTGATTTTGTAGAGTTCCAAGATGATTCAAATGATTCTTTAAAAAATTAATTAGTGGTTATAGATTCATGTATGATCCTTTTCCGGAAGAAAAAATGTCAAAAATGGTCATTCTTGAAAGTTTTTTAAAGAAAAAATCTATCTCCTCTTTCAGTTTTTGACATTCCTAGGAGTTCTATAGCTCAAAAAACCCGATAAAATAAAATTTTTTTATAATTCAAAAACCTCATGAAATTGCACAAAATAGCATTTTTGCGTTGTTTTTTGATTATAAAAAAAGTTTTATAAGACGAATTGAAAATTCATCCATAGAAAATGTAGAGAAAATAATTGCGGGTTTTTTGAGCTATAGAACTCCTAGGAATGTCCAAAACTGAAAGAGGAGATAGATTTTTTCTGTAAAAAACTTTCAAAAATGACCATTATTAACATTTTTTCTTTCGGAAAAGGACCATACATGAATCTATAACCACTAATTAATTTTTTAAAAATTATTTGAATCATCTTGGAACTCCAAGAAATCAGATAAAAAAAATTCTGAAATTATGGTTTTAGACCTGCAATTGTGATCGCGCCAAACTTTTTTCTGTAGATCAAAAATTAATTTGCAGTTCGGAATTGTTCTGTGGGAGAGCGTGCAGTATGAAATTTCTAGGCCACCAACTTTTATGACCTAAAAATGATCTACCAAACCCATGATATGTGTTCTAGGCCATTTCAGTATGATGGCCTAACTTTTGCAAGTTGATTTTTCTAAGCCATCCTTGTAAATAGCTTAGAAAACATGTCGGGGGAATTTTACACTACTCCTAGACCCTAAACTTTGATGGCCTAGAAAATTCATTTTGAGGAAGTTAGACCACCATGGGGAATGGCCTAGAAAATGATAATCAAACTTTGGAATGCCATGAGACCGGAAAAAAAATTATAAAAAGAAAATGTTCAGACTCTAAATAGAAAATATGTAACCGGAAAGTTTTTGAAACTATAAAAACTTTCGCCTTTGAACTTTTGATTAAATTTTGAAAATCAACAAAAAAGATGCGGAAATCGGCTTGAAGGCGCGTGGATAGGGTAATACGGTAATACTCGTTTAGAATGTTTCAAAAGGGGCGCGGCATTTAAAATGACTCTCATTTGTTCAAAATCTGATACACCCGATGAAGATTAGTGGGTAATTGGGTAATGTCTCTTGAAGCAACACTATGAAACTCAACACAATTTAAAAAAAAATAGAGGCCTATATCATTAGAAAGCCCGTAAAATTCTGATTCCGAATATGTTTTCTGTTTTTGCGAAACTTCGAGAAAATTAAGTCAACGTTTTAGTGCTAGTTTAACCTGTTGATTTTGCATTGAAAGCCGTCACGTCGATTTTATAGGCCATGACGTGTAACTTGGAGACGACTCCAGATAGTTCCCTAGTTAGATTAGAAGTTTACAGAAGCAATTAGAATACGGGCTCCGCGACGTTTCGAAAGTGCGACGTTTCGAAAGTACGGCAAATAATGCTTTGAAAGCTTCAAATATACAAAATTCCATTCGAAAAACCATTTAAATACTCAAATACAAGTTTTTGCTTTTTCTTCCATGCATAAAAGTGCAAAGCTGTTACTTTCGAAACGTCGTACTTGCGAAACGTCACACTTGCGAAACGCCACACTTTCGAAACGTCGTCTTTCGAAACGTCGCGGAGCCAGAATACGTAGATAGTAAAATTTTAACGAATTTAATTCTTCCATTTTTTTCTGATTAGTTTGTGACACTTTCATGGAACTAAATCAAGTGAGAACAACGAAATAAAACTTTCTCACAATGTTATGAAACAGGAATATTCAATTTTCTCTTTGTTCTGAAGGCTCAAAAACTATTCGGATGAGCACAAGAAAATCTTTCTCGGTAATTGCTAACTTTTTAGCTGTAAAAATAATAAATGTAGGCAACCAGGCGAACGAACAAAACAAAACCTATTTTCAATCTGAAAAAGACAAACTGAAGCATTTAAAAATCTCAACTTTTTACTTTACTAAATTTGTGTTTCAAATGTAGCATTTTTATGATTGGGGTATTAATTTCTGTTTAATTGTCTCAGCTCCTATTAGAGATATCAAAAACCTGTCAACTGACAAAATGTTTGGCATATTATCACCAACATTTCATCAGTTGACAAATTTTCCTTATCTTTTACAGGAACCAACGATAATTGAGCTCAAAGTAGGAGGAGTTCTATTAGAACACTTACTGATAATTTCCTTAAAATCTTTGTTTAATGTCCCCCTCCTCCAAGAATGAAAATTAATGTTCCAATGTCCATTATAAATTTGTTTTCTCTAAAATCCCGACTAACCCGATTCCTAACATTCGGCGGTGGTCCTGCCGGTTCCTCATCCGCGTATTCAGGTTCACTTCCGATTTCGATGGGAATAAACTCTTCCAAACTCTCATTATCATTGCCAACTTCATTGGCATCCGATGTGGCTTCGATGAATTTGTCCACTGCTTTTTCGTTGGTATCTGGAATCACTGAAATCGATGGGTGTGGTAGAAGAAATGGCGATTAATTCGATTTGTTTCGATTGTTTGTTTCGAGACTTATCGTTCCAAAGGGAGATTTTCTCTGTTTCAGCACACTGTGAAACTAAGCAGTAGCGTTCCTAAAGTAATCGAACAACATTAAACGTATGAAGCAGTACTTACAACTCACTTGTCAGTGTTGGTCCGTTTAGTCTCAGAAATTTTAAAATTTTCAGACCAAACCGACAAGCCCTGAGCAGCGTGCCTTATAGACAAATGATTTGTCGACAAACGCCCTTTTCGACAAATTTATCGGCAAATTTACCAGTAAATTTATCGGAAAATTACCGACAAATTGTCGATAAAAACAACATTTATCGACAATTTGTCTATAAATTTGTCGATAAAAATGCTATTTGCCGACAATTTACCTACAAATTTATCAACAAATTGTCGACAAAAATTGCTATTAACCGCCGGAATTACTTGTAAAAAATCGTATCGTTATCATTTTTTCCTAGGACTTCTAGAATGATGGAAGAACTTACCCAGGCAAACTTTATAGGCTATCTGGCTTGGTGGCCCAACTTTCACAACATGAATTTTCTAGGCCACCAAACTTTTTGACCTAGAAATGATCTGATGTTCACCTGGTGTGTTTTTAGGTCATTGTAACATGGTGGCCTAACTTTAGCGCGTTGAGTTTTCTAGGCCATCATGTAAAAATGGCCTAGAAAACATATCAGACGAATATCTGATCATTTTTAAGC